GAAATAAGATACTTTCATGACAAAGAGCACCTGAGGAACTTCATGAATACCAAACCAGCACTCCAAAAAATTTAAACAATATCCTAGGAAAAGACAATGAGGATCACAACCACAGGAAGCCCAGTAGAATGAATCCATCAGGCATGATAAGACATTAAATACAAAGGGGGAGAATCCAACAAAAAGAAAAAGTCCTGACAAGGATAAGTCAATACATATCAGTTATCATCATCAATGTTAATAGTCTCAGTTCACCAATCAAAAGAAATGGACTGGCAGAATGGGTCAAGAAGCAAGATCCAACAAAATGGCTGCATACCAGAAACACACCTAATTAAAAAAGAAACTCATAGACTGAAAACTAAAGGGTGGAAAACAATATTCCCTGTGACAGGAACCCACAAAAAAGCAGGAGTAGCTATCCTCTTTGCAGATCAAATGGATTTCAAACAAACAAAAATTAAGAGAGACAAAGAAGGACATTACATCCTTGTAAAGGAAACAATCCAAGAAGAGATGACAATCATAAAATATATATGCACCAAATACTAGTGCAACCAACTATATAAAGCTATAAATGAACACGAAAAATCAAATAAGCAGTAATACAATAGTACACCACTATCACAAATAGATAGATCAACTAGACAAAAAGTAAACAATGAAATAGTAGAACTCAATCAAACTCTTGAACAAATGAACTTAACAGATGTTTACAGAGTGTTCCACCCAAGAAAATCAGAATACATGTTCTTTTCGGCTGCACATTTATTGTTTTCCAAAATAACCCACATAATTCCTCATAGAACATATTTAAGTAAGTGCAAAGGAATTGAAGTTATCCCCTGTATATTTTCAGACCATAGTGCAATGAAATTGGAGATCAATAGCAATAAAAACTGCAAGAATTTCATAAACACATGGAAATTGAACAACACACTTCTGAATAATCAATGTGTCATGGAGGAAATTGAAGATATCAGATAGTTTCTATAATTAAACGACAATGCCAATACAACATATTGGAATCTATGGGACACAATGAAAGCAGTCTTACGAGGGACATTCATAGCAGTGAATACTCGTATTAGGAAAACAGAGCAAGCTCAAATAAATGATCTGATGCTGAACCTCAAGCTTCTAGAAAAAGAAGAGCAGGACAAATGTAAAGCTCATACAAGGGAGGAAATTATAAAGATCAGAGCAGAAATTGATGCAATGGAGACTAAGAGAACAATACAAAAAATCAACTAAGCAAAGAGTTGATTCTTTGAAAGAATAAACAAGATTGACAA